CCCCCCACAGTTTATCCCGTGTCCACTCAGTGCCAGGGGCTCCTAGAGATGCTGGGGATTCCAGGGGTGACCAAGAAAGAGCAGGTCTCTCTCCTGTGGGAGGTGACATTTCTCCTGGGGAGTCAGGTAAAAACAATTTCAGAGGATTTTTAGGTAGTGAAAAGTGTTATGAGTACGTCGTGATAGGACTGGAGAGTGAAGACACTTTGAGGAGGTTGACACTTGAATGAGGCCTAAATTCTTAGAAGGAACCTCCTGTGGCATGTTCAGAGCCCTGAGGGGCATCACCTTGGCATATTTAGGACAGAATGAATGCCAGAGTGTCTGGAAGGAATGACTAAGATGCGGGATGAAGGATATGGGCCTGGTGGCCTGGGCCAGGGTCTTTTTAAGGAGTTAAGGCCTTAGGTCTTTGGCTTGAGGACAGTGAGACAAGTTTATAACAGGCCATCTTTCTCAGAAGGTAAATGTGAGCTATTCTGTCCATTCCACTTGTGAGCAAAAGCTCAATGTCAATGGAAGTGAACTTTTTCAATGAATTATATAAGTAATCTCTGACCAGTTTGTTTTGTATTGGAAGTCAAAGTCAAACCAGACATCAAAATATATACCAGGAAGAATCCAACTGCCCAGAGGGGGCCCTACCCAGGTGACAGTGGGACATGGAGGGCTTGGCTGCTGGGTACCTAGGGCTTCACTCACACACCAAGGAGCCACCCGTGCTGGGCAGTGGGTTAAAGATGGGAATGGGGCTTCTGTGGACATTTAGACCAAAGGAGGCCTTCTGCTCTCACCCGTGCATGGCACTGAGAACCTGGGGAGATGAGCCCAGGAAGTCCCAATCCCATGGTCCTATCTCTAAGCTTTCTGGAACCGCCCACACATTCCTAGCAGCCCTTTCCCCTGTATCTACCTTGACCATGTCAGTATCTCAGGATGTTGCTCAGCTCCCAGGGCCATTCCCCATTGTCTCTCTGGCCTTAGCCCTGCCCTCTTGCATGCTGAGCATCTTTCTTATCTAAAGTCTACCCAAATCTTTTAAAATTGTTATTCTTGGGGCGCCTGGGTGGCGCAGTCGGTTAAGCGTCCCACTTCAGCCAGGTCACGATCTCGCGGTCCGTGAGTTCGAGCCCCGCGTCGGGCTCTGGGCTGATGGCTCAGAGCCTGGAGCCCGTTTCCGATTCTGTGTCTCCCTCTCTCTCTGCCCCTCGCCCGTTCATGCTCTGTCTCTCTCTGTCCCAAAAATAAATAAACGTAGAAAAAAAACATTTTTTTTTAAAAATTTGTTATTCTTTTCTGATTACCAAAGAAATACAGCTTGGCCACTAAAAATTCACATGTTGCAGAAACAGAAAGCAGAAGACCATTCTAAACCCAGACTCTTCTCCAGTGTGGCACATGTTACAGTATAGGTGTGCTCATTTCAGCTACAAGTCACTCTGTTTATTCCTTTTTTTCTCCTAAAATGCAAATATATACTTAGCAAGTCACTCCCCTTCCCCTACGCTCTTTGGAGTTTTTAATAAACAGTTACTGTCGGTCTACATCTTCTATGAAGGATTTGCATTTTTGTAATCTGTATGTCAGCCATATTGGCCACCTGTTGATTTTTTTTGCATTTTTTTTCTTGTTTTCTACCACTTGTTGATTTTATGTTCAAGATCTCCAGTTTTCTTCCTGCTCTGAGTTCTAGGACTCTTCAGTAAGGTCTCCTGAACACTGCACCACATTCACCGTTCACCCTCTCTTCTTATTTTGGTCCTTGGGATTATTTAGACCCATAGTATATTGTTTTCCATCGTTTTATTTTTCACCTATCTATGTCTTTACATTTAAGGCCTTTATATGTAAAGCTTCTTATAGACATCATAAAGTTGAGTATTGTTTTTTTAATGCAGTCTAATAACCTCTGCCTTTCAATTGGAGTGTTTAGTCCATTTACATTTAACTTAATTATCCATGTGCTTGGATTTAAGTTTGCCATCCTGTTGTTTGTTTCTTTTTGTCCCATCTGTTCTTTTTCCTTTGTTTCTTTACCTTTCTTCTTTTGGATTTTTTTTTTTTTTAGAATTGTATTTTATCTTCACTACTGGCTTATTAGCATGCATGAGAGTCTTGGAGGGCTTCCTAAAACACACAATCATATGTTTTACTTACACATATGTTATAAAACCCCACACTACCTTAATATTATTATTGTTTTAAATGATCAGTTATTTTTTTTTAAAGATTTAAAAATAAAGTAGTGGGGGGTCCCTGGGTGACCCAGTCAGTTAAGCGTCCAACTCTTGGTTTTGGTCAGGTCATGATCTCACAGTTCATGAGTTCAAGCCCTGCACTGGGTTCTGCACCAACAGTGCAGAGCCTGCTGGGAATTCTGTCTCTCCCCTCTCCCTCTGCCCCTGCCCTGCTTGCTTTCTTTCTCAAAATAAATAAACTTTTAAAAAGTAAATAAATAGGGGCGCCTGGGTGGCGCAGTCGGTTAGGCGTCCGACTTCAGCCAGGTCACGATGTCGCGGTCCGGGAGTTCGAGCCCCGCGTCGGGCTCTGGGCTGATGGCTCGGAGCCTGGAGCCTGTTTCCGATTCTGTGTCTCCCTCTCTCTCTGCCCCTCCCCCGTTCATGCTCTGTCTCTCTCGTCCCAAAAATAAATAAACGTTGGAAAAAAAAAATTTAAAAAAATAAATAAATAAATAAACAGTAAATAAATATATATAAATAAAAATAAATGAGGTAGAAGTGTTTTCTACTTCCTCACATATTTACATTCCTGTTCTTCATTCCTTTGAGTAGATCCAGGTTTCCATCTGGTATCATTTTCTTTCACCTGAACAACTTTCTTTAATATGTCTCATAGTACAGGGGCGCCTGGGTGGCTCAGTCGGTTTAAGCACCTGACTTCAGCTCAGGTCAAGATCTCATGGTTTGTGAGTTCAAGCCCCACATCGGGGTCTCTGCTGTCAGCGCAGAGCCTGCTTCAGATCCTCTGTCCCCTCCCCACATCCCACACCCCTCACCCCTCACCCTCCACCCCCACTTCTCTGCCCTTCCCCTGCTCACGTGCTCGCTCGCTCTCTCTCTCTCTCAAAATTAAATAAAAACATTTTTTAAAAATATGTCTCCTAGTACAGGTCTGCTGGTGACCAATTCTCTCAGCGTTTTGTCTCAAAAGATTTTATTTGCCTTCATTTTTAGAGGGTATTTTCCATGAATATAGGAT